ACTATAATCTGCCCTGAGCTAAGAACAAAAGGCAGATACAATATAATTTTAGTCTCCAGTTTAGACCTAAGAAATTGGCAACAAAATTCTTCTAAAGAATAGGAGCAAGTCATTTCATCAATGAGGAAGAGGGGAGAGTAAATAACAAGCTCAGGTTATTGGAGATTACTTGGATCTTGCACTTAGCTGAAGCTACTCTAGGAAGCTTCTGAAGTTGCTTTGATACTTTAACCAGATTATCGTCGATTGATGTATTGTAGCATATAATGAGCTGTTCAAGATGCGGCATTGACTCCAAGAAATGCTTGATCTGATCTAATTCTGTATTGTCATCATTTTCACCAAACTTCATTATCTTTAGAATCTTCACTGGACTTGATAATAGGCAAGTAAGATTATCCTTCAAGGGTTTGCACCGGCATACGTCTCCACATTTATCTGTAGATTTGTGGAGGAGTCCCTAAAGCAATGGAGGAAAACATTAGTTATATTTATATATCTGTTTCTCATGACTGAATAATGTGTTTTGATTTGTACTTGGAAGATTAGTGTTTTCAGATTTGGACAATTCTTGAGCAGATTCGGCAATGAGTCCCATCCAACTTCTGTGTTACTCTCAATAGTTAAACGAGTCAGGTTGTTCAATATCGGTATTGCTTTGCAGCAGAACGTAAGTACCTTAAAAAAAAAACCAAATCAATCACTCATCTCCAATCATTAACTCAAATCTTTAAGCAGAAGAAATGTGATTAACATGAAAACCTCAATAGTGCTTGCGGATAAGTAAAGAATCTGAACATTGCGTATTCCAATAAGTAGATCTGTTGCATCACCGACCATACTGTGTTCTATAACTAGTGGTCCCTCTCCCTCGTCGCCATCCAGTATTTCTACAATTCCTACCTCCTCATATCCAACTCGAAGACCGAGACTAGCTTCAACGAGCGAATCAAAATTCAAATTTTCATACTTTTTCGCAATAGTATCGGAATATTCAAAGTAGACAAGAGCCGGAGTATCAAACGTAACATTCTTAGGCTTTCGTGACCGTCCTCGTTACAGACCGTTAGTCTCTTGAGAGTTGGAGAGCCAGTCTCCCAAAGATTAATAAGAACTAATTCCTCAAGGACATAACAACCTGAAAGAAGCTCGATGAGGGTTTGAGATCCAAACACAACCGAATCAATATAGAGAGTCTTGAGCTTTGGAAGGCAAACATGTTCCCGTTCAATGGCGCGAGCACCACCACCAAAGGCGAGACCATTTCTAGCTCCTAGTCTCAACCTAACTAGTGACTTGCTCACAAAGACTTCTGAAGGAAACATATCATAATCCCAATCTACGGCAATGCGTAAATCAAGATCCGATACACCAAGCTCCAACACATTGTATACCCAACGCATGACACTAACCTGACCAACACCATTTAATTTCCACACTTTAAAGTGAACTTGTTTACATGAAAAGTACTTCCTTGCAAACCCAATACTCTATCAACGAAATCTATAAAAGTTTTGTGGATCAAAGTACTTTTTTGGTTAACCAATTCAGGTTCCATATATACCGGATCATCAAAATCAAGATTTGGAACGAAAGCGAAAAGAAACCGCCATTTTCTCGAGAGAACCGATGTTAAAGCAGCTTCTTTTGTTGAAAGGAATGACAAGATGTGGTAAATAACAGCTTCTGGTAGACCGCTGATTATATCTTTGGAACCAGTATCCAACTTTTTCGGATGCATCTCAAGTTACGACCTAAAAAAATGACATCTGAGTTAGTAAGTCATTTAATCGATCCAAGGATTCGACTTTGAGAAGCTTACACTCAAAAACACTCTAAATACGGCGTTTCTCAACTATAACCTAGTTTCAAGGTCGTGTCTATACACACGATCGTTAGGTTTCATTAAATTTACGAACAAGAAAAGTAACACAACGAATAATCAATTACCAAAAAAAAGATTACCACAAAAGCACATTGCTGGAGAAGAGCATACGAGATTAGGAGACTCACTTGGGCCTATCAAAATTCAAAATCACCGAAAGATAGAGAGATTCTGAGAGAGAAGTGGAAGAGGAAATTAGGGTTTTTTAATTTCAGCCGTGACCGAGAGTGAGTAGCAGTAGCGGGACGAGTGATTTCCAAAGTCAAGGTTCAGCTTAAAAACGATGCCGTATTTAGTCTTCTAAAACCTTTTGCCCTCAACTAGAAGCCTTTACGATCACTCAAGAGAATCAAAAGTCAACGATATTAATATGAGTTTATTATTACATTTTTCCTACATTACATTTAAAGATAAGACACATCTAACAGAACAGAGACCACACTAAGATTATTTCATGCTTAAACTAAAACAAAAGGCTTTGCTAGAAGAAGGATAATCTCCCATCTAGTCGACATAGGAGTAACGTTGAATTGGTTCGATGCGATGATCACAGATTAGTTGGACAGTGCACTTCGACGAAGCTCCTCTACGAGCTAACCTCTCAAGTTGGCTTTTCAAAGCTTCATCAATTCGTGTATTGTAGCACACTATCATTTGTTCACGATTCGGCATTGCCTGTAAGAAATACTTGACCTGCTCCATCTGCCATTGCTTAGCCGTTTCATCACTGTAAAAAGAAATTTCACCAAACTTGAGTATCTTTATAACCTTCACCGGACTTGATGACAGGAAACTAGGAAGGTCCTCCGAAGGTCTGCATAGGCACCCGTCAACGTCCTTGCATTTAAATGTATTTTTGTGATGGAGTCCCTGAATCATAGAGGAAAAACAATTTCAAAATCTAGTTTTTGTTTCGAAAACTTGTGTTAGGAGATGAAGTAAAAAGGATATGTGTTAGTACATCGAAGACGAGGGTTTCTAGTTTTGGACAGTTCTTGAGTAGAGCCCGCAATGATTCCCATCCTGCTTCCCGGTGAGTCTTCATAGTTAAATGAATCAGGTTCTTGAACACCAGTATTTCTTCACAGCAGAAAGTAAGAACCTGGAACGAAAACCAAAACAACTTCATTTGAAAGCCATGTAACGATAACTGAAACAAAGGTATTCAAATCATCGAAAACAAACCGAAAGAGTGTTGGCAGATAAGTAAAGGGTCTGAACATTGCTTATCCGCATAAGAAGCTCTGTTGCATTACCGACCAAATCTCCATAGCTTGAATGCCAATGCTGTTCACATGTCATTCGAAGCTCGATACTAGCTTCAACAAGTGAATCAAAATTAACTATTTCATACTTTTTAGCAACATGATCTGTGTATTCAAAGTAGACAAGATTCGGTGTATCAAGCGAAACACTATCTGGATTACTATTCCAGTCTTCACAACGTAGAGTTAGTCTCTTGAGCGTTTTTGAAGACACAGGGCGTTTCCAATAATCATACTACCAACACATATCGATCAGAACTAATTCCTCGAGGACAGGACAACCAGAAACAAGCTTGTCGAGGCTGCAATTACAAACGTCTTCAAACACAACTGCATCAAGATGGAGAGTCTTAACCTTTGGAAGAAAAACATCTTCCACATAAATGACTGCACCATTCTCAGCTTCTATCCTCAACCTAACTAGTGACTTGCTCACAAACACACTTCCTGGCATCGAAACCGAATCATCCCAATCCACCATTACGCGTAAATCGAGATCCGACACACCGCGTTCCAACACATGCAATACCCAACGAGAGACACAAAATGGATAAACACCATTTCGACACTTGAGAGAGAACTTGTTTATAGTAGAATACTGGTGCAAACTCAATACTCTAGTCGTGAAAAGCATAAACATTTCATGTCTCTCGTCTTTGTTTTGGTTACCCATTTGAGGATTAAGATATAGCACAGAGTCATCAAAATCAAGATTTGGTGAGAGAGCAAATAGATACCGCCATTTTTTGATGTTAAAGCAGCTTCTTTTGTTGGAAGAAACGACAATATGTGGGGGATAAGACCTTCCGGTAGAGAGCTGATTACATCTTTGCAACATCTATCCATCTTTGTCCGGATACAAAGTGACAGATCTCAACAGTTATAACCTGAAAAACGACAAGATGATTTCTCGGGTAAGTAATTCGATCAGACAGTTTCAGATGCTCAAATCAAAACACAACAAGTAAACAAGTTTCAAAATCTTTGTCTTTCATATATCAATTACGAATTTGAACAGAAACCCAGAAAAAAAAATGCTAAGAATGGGTTTGAAATGGCTAAGTGAATGAGGTCACACAAAAAAAAAAAAGATTTTGTAACAAAAATCACATGATTTCTTTTTGGGTTTTGTGCTTTTATATCACATTCAAGATGAGATCAAATGTTATAGGTAATAGCCATGCTCTGTTTCAGAAAGTTGATTAGACCTTATTTTATTTTGAGGGTGACTTTAGATGAAAAAGTTAGCTTCTCAAACTAAGAATCGAAGCAAGCAAAAGATAATCCAACAACATTCCCAATCATCAAACACATGTCACAAAAACTTGATAACAAAAGAGGCAGCAACAAGGTGCTCATATTGGTGATCGTAGATTACTTGGATCTCGCAATTTGGTGAAGCTACTCTAGCAAAATTCTTAAGTTGGCTTGATACTTTAATAAGATCATCATTGGTCGATGTAGCGTAGTAGTATGTCAATTGTTCAAGACGCGGCATTGTCTCCAAGAACTGCTTGACCTGCTCCATATGATTCTCTACACCACTTTTACCAAATCTTGATATTTTTAAAAACTTCACCGGACTTGATGATAAGCAAGTAAGAATCTCCCCTGGCAATTTGCAAGGGCCCTGAACCATAGAGGAAACAACTTTATAAAGCCTAGTTTTGTTTAAAGATGTGGTAAAAGGATATGTTTTGGTACCTTGAAGACAAGGGTTTCTAGATTTGGACAGTTCTTGAGTAGAGCCGGCAATGATTCCCATCCTGATTTCCGGTGAGTTTGAACAGTTAAATGGATCAGATTCTTGAATACCGGTATTTGTTCACAGCAGAAAGGAAGAACCTTAAACAAGAACCAAATTGAATTTATTTGGAAAGCCATGTAACACTATACTGAAACAAGGGTATAGATCTAACAATTACCTCAAGAGTGTCGGCGAATAAGTAAAGGAACTGAACATTGCTTATCCCCATAAGAAGATCTGTTGCATGTGCACGCTGCTGATCACGTGTCATTCGAAGATCGATACTTGCTTCAAGAAGTGAATCTAAATTCACCATGATTCGCAACAAAATCAGTGTATTCAAAGTAGACAAGGTTCGGCATATCAAACAAAACACTACCTGGCTCTATATCCCATACTAGCTTTAGTCTTTTGAGGGTTTTGGAAGACACGGAGCCGTTCTGATAACCTTTCCAACATGCACCAACAAATAATTCCTCGAGGACAGGACAACAAGAAACAAGCTTGCCGAGGCTGCGATTATCACCGCCTCCAAACACAACTGAATCAAGATGGAGAGTCTTAAGCTTTGGAAGAAAAACATCTTTCACGTCAATTAACACACGACATATAGTTTCTATCCTCAGCCTAACCAGTGACTTGGTCACAAACATACTTGCAGGTATCGAAACCAAATCACTCGGATGCATAATATCGCGTAAATCAAGATCGGACACCAAGCGTTCAATCACATTTTTTACCCAACGAGAGACATAAGCTGGACCAACGACATTTCCACACTTAAGAGGGAACTTGTTTATAGTAGAATTCCCATGCAAACCCAATACTCTATCCACGAAATCAATAAAAATTCTAACTCTCTTGCCTCTTTTTCGGCTACCCACATCCGGATTACGATACACAACATAGTCATCAAAATCAAGATTTGGTGAGAAAGCAAATAGATACCGCCATTTTTTAGAGAGAAGCGATGTTAAAGCAGCTTCTTTTGTTGGAAGAAATGACAATATGTGGCAAATAAGAGCTTCTGGTAGAGAGCTGATTAAATCTTTGGATACAATATTCATTTTTTTCTGATGCATTGTGACAGATCTCAACAGCTACAACCTGGAATAAGAAGAAAAAAAAAGACATGATCTCGAGTAAGTAAATTCGATCCGACAATTTCAGATGCTTCACACAAAACACAACAACTATATTGTAAAGGTTTTCGTCGTTATGAATTTAAACCTAAATTTTGCTCAAGTAAAAGTTGAAATCGTACACTAGGGTATCACAAATTAAAATCAGAAGAAGACATCGAGAAAACATCACTTGGTTATTACCGGGATATTAGAACAGAACCCATCAAAATTATTCCGCAGAAAATTTTGATTATGGGTTTTTTCTTGAGTGGAAGCTGAACAGGAAATTAGGGTTTTTTTTCCAATCGTGGCCGGTTGTAATATATTTTTTTTTTTTTATGAAAATTTTGTTGGGTAAAGTTCTCTAATTTAATACAATGAATTGACACTTTATTCAAAAACGTCAAGTCTATAAATCCCTGAAATAATGTTCTTTATTTGTTTAGGTAATAATTAATAACAATGCTCTGTTTTAGAAAGTAGGTTAGAGCTTCTTCTTTTTTAGAGTGACTTGTAAGACAAGTTAGCTACTCAAACTAAAAACCCGAAATAAGCAAAAATAAATCGAGCATTCCC